TATATCTTTCTTACCAGTTTGAACATCAACAGCGGCTAACTTTACAATTGGCTGAAATGTCACGGATGGTTCATAGGACTCGTCGGGATCACCACCAGTATCATCATTCTCATCAGCCGGAGGAGCAATATCAATTTTTTTAACTTGCTCTGCGATTGACTTGGGGCCTTCCGACACTAAAATGTTCAAGATTGTTAGAAAATTTCATATGATTAAGTTTCTTTTTTCGGTCTACAATATTCTAAAACCATTTAAATTACCGTTCGCTTCGGTTTTTTGTGAAATTACTGGCATTGTTGGGAGATCCTGGACGAAAAGACCATGTGGTTCTAGAATAGGTGACGTCTCAAACGTAATGACAATGGATCAGAACACTTAAGCTATAGTGTGACTTACTTAAAACACTAGGTTGACTCGTTGGAATAGAAGGAAAAGTAGAAGTTTGATGATAAGATGGAGTAGTAAAGGAGGGTTGATTAGACGTGGTGGATGGAATTTGATGAATTCCCATCGATGGAGGTTGTGATGAAAAGTTTTGAAATGCCGTCATCGATGGCGGTTGTGATGAAAAGTTTTGAAATGCTGTCATTGATGGAAGTGGTGGTTGTTGCATCGGAGGCATAGCTGAAACAAAGGGTTGACGAATATATTGTTGATGTTGTAGTAACTGAGGTGGTGTAAAACCAAATTGAGAAGCATAATAAGAATAGTTAGGTTGTTGAGGAACGTGTTGCTGTTGTTGTTGTTGTTGTTGTTGTTGAATTAATATTCGATTACAGAGCATTTCAACTATATTCTACAAAAAATGAGGATCAAGATTATAGTTTCTTATCGAATAAGTAATAAATATTTACCTTAATTTCAAACAATTGTAATGATATATGTTGCGAATATTGAGTCAAATTTTGTATAACATTGGTCTGAATATTTAAACAATTTAGCAATTGCTCGTTAACACGTTCATTGAAGTTGTTCACTGTTGTTTTCGTTCTTGCTTGTTGAGTGGTATTTGTTAAAGGTGATAGTGATGGCTGTTCGGAAACATGATGTTGTGGACGACGAAGAGAAGACAATAAGTCATGAGGAAATTCACTTGTGGTTGTAGTAGCTGTTTCTCTTCGTGGCGTCGTCGATGAGGGTATATCATTGTTCGTTGTCGATACATGACGATTTTGAGCGAGTACATTAGACTGATGCTGACTGAACTTGGGAAATTCTAATAATGTGTTATTACCATCGCCACCACTACTCGAAGATGCACCTGTCAATGGTGTTGTGGGAGTATGAAACGATGTTGATGATGTTACCCCATCATTACTAGTCGGTGTTTTTGACATTGTGGTTTTTCCTCTAGAAGAAAACAACATCATATTGCATCTAGAACATAAACATAATCAACAACTCGAGATGAAATAAAAGTTTTTAGACCAGTACATTAACATCAGTATGTTATATTTCTGAAGATACGATTACAAGGGCATTTTTTCTGACGATCTTCTCCAATCTCTCCAGAAAGTTTCAAGAAAGCGTGTTTTTTCTGGAACATTTTTTTAAAAGAAAATGGATAAAATCAGCTCTACCGTGACGTCTGTGCGTTTCTTCAAAAAAAGTGATGCGTTCAATGTTCTGCGTTTCCTTTCTCTCTCATCATCCATCCATTTATTAGTTTGTATATATATTGTACACAGACGGTCTGAAAGAACACGGCTATATTTATTTCTCTTTATATATAAATTTCATCATTTCTTTGGCTTTTTGCAACTTTGACACTGTATGACTCATCGTTTTCTCGTTCTTTCATACAGCTACAACAAAAAAGGCATGAAAAAGAACAAACTAGAGAGTGATTGTTCTATACGCACACCTTGTAAAGGCGACTAAGTGAGCGCGCCAAAGCTTTTAGTATAGAAAAACGACCATAAATGATATGCTTAAACGCCTGAACGACATTGCCGCGAGTAATATTTTATCTATATTGCATGAGCACACAGTCTATGTGAATATTCTTCTGATAATAGAATCCATTACATTTTTGTTCAAAATGAGTCTAAATCGATCTGAGCGGCTCTAATTGTTAACAATGATGCAGAAAATATTTTATTAGTCATTCGCACACATCGCTCGATATTTTATTGTATTTGATCTTGAATTAGAACTGAAACAGACAGTTTACTTTTCAAAGCATGCCCTACCCTATCCACTCGATAATTCCTTGCTTCGCTAGATCACTAACGAAACTAAAATAAACAAACTTTTAATGGTATAGCAACAACACTTACTATTTTCCTGTTATCTCGTGTTCCTTCAGTCTCGAAGAGATTTTTTTAAAAAGAAACACCGTGAAATTCTCTACGATAGTTAATCAAAAGTTCTGATCTACCATGTGTATGTAAAAAGCATACAAAAGACTCTGAAAGGCATCGAAATGATAACTTGTTTTCTAAACATATAAATTTCTTTTTCTCTGGATTTTACATTCATTAAAACCTGTTAGCGCTTTTTTTGTACCTAGGAGTGTGTTCTTTTTCATAGTGTACAGGAGAGTTCGTCTATATTATATTATATAACACATAAGTCAATTCCTTAATAATCGGTCAAAAAGATTCAAACTTGACACTTTTCCGAACCGTTTAAGAAACAAAACCTTACTCAACTTTTAGCCATTAAACTGAGTAGACCAATCATTTCTGATTAAAATAAAACAAACCCGATCTCAAAAGCTTCATTTTTGATCGAAGTATACGAGTATACTAAAAGCCTCAAAAATGTAGAACGAACAAAATCAAACACCACAATTTGTAAGAAAAAAGCAGCTCAACAATAAAGAAAAGTTTTTATTGTGGACGGGATGTAAAAGAATTTGAACTATATTTATAAGATAGAGCTTTTCACGGGCTACAAAATGGCCTAATTTGATTTTGTTTAATCTCAAAGAACTAACGAATAAAATCATTTTTTAAATAACGAAATTCACCATTTCGGAGTCTTGCATATGTTTTTTACATGCACATCATAGACCAAAACTTTTGATTGGTTCTTGTAGAGAACTTCACGGTGCATCTTTTTAAAAAAATCTGAGAAACTGAAGGTACAAGAGATAAAAGGAAAATAGTAAGGGTGACTTGGACATGCATCGATCGCAAACGTGAATCGATCATACATGGAATCGGTTCGGCTTGAGATCCGGATTACAATTTTCGGGTAATGTATAACCTTAACTTAAGCCTAAACTAACTTATACATTTTGCCATAGCCCGACACAGGTTAACTTAATTCAGCCTATGAAAGTTTTTATTAACCAAACTGATTCGCGGAACAGCGAAGGTTAACTACAGACCATTGTCTTTTCTAATAGTAACAATATATAACGCAAAAATAGCACAAATCTAAACAAAATAAATTATACTTTCTAAAGTTGTGTACAGATAAAAGATTATTCACTTTTAGTAGCTCAATTTAACTTCGAGAGTGATCAGAACTTTATCGAAGATCACTCGCCGAAAAGAAACACGGAGAAAAAAATAGACAAAAAAGAATAAATATTGTCACGAAAAATAATTTTAGTGACTAGGTTTTTGGCTTATAAAGTTTTATCTAAATTGCACCTAATGCTTCTATTAAATCAATAAGCCATCGCAGACACTTCACCAGCTAAAGCTTTTAAAATACCCCAAACTAATATTGTTACTATGTGAAATAGTTAAAATATTTTTTTCTTAAACTTAAACCGCAAACGAGCAGAGTCCGATTGTACTCAGGATTGGTGCATGTCTAGTGACATTCTTTATGAACCACCCATTATAAGTAGTCGGCTAAATATAGAAACGATCGTTTCGCAATTTATGAACGTAGAATAAAAATCAAGATTTTTATCATCAACTGATTGCTGTTACATGTTAAAGATTCATCTAATGACCTTGAAAAAAGATAAAATCATTTTATTCATTCAGCAAAACTTGTCATAAATGCATAAGTAAATAATTAAATAAACATAATACGTATAAGTGAATGGTATAATCATTGTATCGTTAATATCGAATGTGGAAATTTCAGTATAGAATTCTTTACAGATTTTCTCAGTTTTCTTAATTTTATTCCCCTAAGTAGTGTCTATTATCTACTAAAAACACATTTTCGACTGTTACTGTTCATGATATATAACATTCATACTAGCTTAAATATTACAGGTTTTGATGGTTATTCAATTTTTTCTAATTAGTAGCTCGCACCGCTCTTCTCTACCAGAATATTTTGGTCGGTTATGGGTTATAGACTCTAAATGCTTTTAAAATTTGATGAGCTTTGTTTCATCAATTTTCGTACCACAAATAGGAAATAATCCTGCATCAAAACGTGGGCACATGTCTGAGCAGAATCCTCTTGTTAAGATACGTTGTACTACATTCGAAATTGAACTTTTTTTTTCGAAGTTTTAAGAAATATTTTTCTATCCAAGCAGTAGAATGATATCTTATGTTAGAATAAAGAAGATTGCTAACTACTACAGTGCAACCATCAAACGTTTAAGTCATCTGTACAAAAACATCAAATTTTTTTCGATATCAACAACAATCTTTTCCTTTCAGCTAACGCGTCGTGCAAGGTCAGCGAAAAAATCACGGTTCTTTTTAGTCTTTCCGGCAGAATAACACTTTATAATATATAATAAAATACTAAGGAAAAGAAAACGCAAGCTTTTCCATATGAGTATTCATAAAAAGCAGATAAAAGACAATTCTCTTTTAGAGCGTAATTTATGAGTTTTTTTTTGTAAAGTAACACAAGCTTTGTCTATTTGCATGCTTTGATTTAACTGAAGTTTACCATCAACAATGGAACATGCAAGTTTTGATTCAAGCCAGAAAAAGTAGATATTTAACAGTGAACAATTTTTACTCACGTATTCGAATTACATGTTGTCAACTTTTGATAATAAGTTGAATAATTATCATAAGCTGCGGCTTTTGTATGATCATTTTTACGTCGTAATCGTATACACTAGACATACAGAAGCTCCTTCGACACACATTATTATGATAAATATAGATTACCTCTTCATGAAATACATGGGACACATCATTAAACACAGCAGACGATTGATGAATATCATCAAAAAATGGATTATCGCCTTGTAAACGTAAAAATAGTAAACCTTTATAAAACTTTGTTCTTTGCTGATTGTCAGTTCCACTGAAAACGAATGTATTAGACAAAGAAAAAACTGAAAAACGATATAGAACTTACTCGTAATTTTCTTTTTCCTCATTTGTACTAACTCGAAATGAATTTACCCACCATTCTGTATGAGCTTTCGAGCAAAAATTTGTATAAAATTTATGTGGATAAAGTCCAGTAATTTTAGAGAACTTAGTTTTATATTGCAAATAACAAAAATATAAAAATGTCTAAAAGATTAAAAAAGTACAAGTAAAAGTATAGAAAAATGAGACAACTTACAATCAGATCCATTTGTGTTAAATATTCAACTACACTTGGATCATTCGTTGAAAGTGGAATTGTTTTTGGTAAATATTTGTGAATAACTAAATATACAGATAATAAATTATATGTTGATTTTTTGTTTCCTTGGTTAAAACTTACGAGAAATGGCATCCATAGAACAACTCGTAAACCATATCATTTTATGTAAACTATGTAATGTTAACACATCATGTAAAACTAAATAGACGGTATAGTGTAATAAGCATGCTCGAGACAGTATATTTGACACATACCGATATCTCTTGAATTTTGTAACTCATTACTATCGTCACCATCATATGTCGATAATTGTTCTTTGGATAACCCATCATAATAATCATCATCATTCACTGATAATATAAAGGATTCCTGAATATTATCAATATTTAAGAAACGTTTGACAACAGCATGTAACTTAAGAAAAAAAACAAGATTTCGTAATTGAAAATATCGCTTAAAGAGGATTATATTTGAATTAAACTTATAAATTTATATTCCTACTTACATCGTTTGCTTTTCTCTTTTTGGCATTATGAATGATACTTTGTTCTAATGTTCGAAGCCAATAGCCTAAATTCAATATTTGTTGATAGTTTTCTACAAATGACTTTTATGACAAGTTCGGATCCCGGAAAAAAGTTGAATCCATAGAACTCTATTTGTGTATATGTGTTTTCTTTTACCTATGACAAACGAACGTTGTACATTGTGTTTCAGCATATACGTTGTTGAACATAGTGTGAATGCTTCTTCATTGTTTTCTGACTCTTCATTGAAATTGTTTGAATATTTTTGTGCTAGGAGAAAATAAATTGTTGACGATTCCATTAAATTCGATTGATATTGTGCAATTTTATCCTCATCATTCATCTATTTCAACAAAACAAACAGAAATAGCAGAAACACATGAACAATACTTCACTATAATCAGTACTCACATGTTCAATATTCGATAAAACGAACAATAAATACATTCCAATAAAAAAGTATAAATCTGACTTTAAATAAGCAGAAAATATTTCCATTCTATTAATTTTAACAAATCGATCAAATCTAAACATGACAAGATATAGTTAGAAAAGTACCGACGTTTATTTTTTTTGGAAAAGTTGAGCTTACAGTTTCAAATTTTCGACTAGATCAGTTTCATTTCGTATTTCAAACAAAGTTTCAATATAACGTACATAACATAAATACGAACAGAATACATGTTGAGTACGATCGACTATTTGAACATCCTAGAGAAGACAAAAAACCTCACTACAACAACTCTGATTCAATAAGATCTTATGTATCTAACTTGTATGATTTTCAAACAAAATTTATTCCATTCGAGATTATGATCATATTTGTCATTATCAATTGTTTCCATTAATAATAGAAATGCATCTTCATCATTCTTTGAACGCAAATAAACATTTATCAACTGTTGGCGAAGTTGAATATTTAATGGTTCATCGTTCTAAAATGAGAACAAGATTATAATAGGATAAAGGAAAGAATCTTTGTTAAAATATTAACCAATTTTTCTTTCAAATATGTTTTCAATCTATCGGGATCAGCTAATGTATTATTTTCATCGATTTTTATCTAAAACAAGTTGGAAAAAAGGCACTAGATGAAATAAGATGTCGAAAAGAAACACATACCCGTAATTCTTTAATCAAATTATCATCTGGTGAAGTTCGATTTATAATATCGATAAACTTTCGAGCACGATCTAATGGTATTTGATTTAGTTCAAGCATCGAATTAACGGCTAGAAAATTGAAAAGACTATACATCGTCATACATTAAATCAGTCAGATTGATACCTTTTTTTGCATAAGTTACTACTGGATCAAATAAATAAGCTCTATAATAAAAACATTAACTATTAGTACTGTCACACATGTACCAATTTTTACTTTTCATAGTTGTTCAATGCATCGGAATAGTTCTGTTTTGAGAAACAAATATCGCCCATTAAATCGTATGCCTAGAAATAACAGAAAGATTTCGTTTCATCTTATAAACGATCAACTTGCAAGTTCATATATACGTACATTTGCTGATTCTGGTGAACGTAGAATAAATTTTTTCAAATATACTTCAGCTAAATCATATTCGTTTACATCATAATAATGTTTAGCAAACTGATAACCACGCGTATCTTTCTAAAAAATTATGAAGATCAAAATTTGAAATGAAAAAGAAACTAAAAATAACAGCTTACTTCTAAATCTGTACGAAGTCGAATTAACGTTAGTTGTACAAAATTATCAACTTCAGCTTTATTTTTAAAAAATTTTGCCATCTAAAAAGGAACATTAATGTTTTCAGGTTCGAAGATAAGTTAAAAATTTCAGAAAAAGTTTAGAATACAGAGAAACAATTTGCGCTAAAACTCCGTTATAATGATCTGGTATCATATGATAGCACATTTGACGAGAAATAAGAACATTAAAAAATAACCAATTTAGCAATAAAATTATCTTCGGATAAAAGTGTTCTTTACAGGATGCTTTTCTCAGATGGAAAAAGAACAAGAGTATTTTAAAGGCAAATTAAAATTTTCTGAACATTCGTGTATGATCAGACAAATGCAAGGGGGAAAATAATAATTAGGCACTGAAACTAGATGCACAATATCAGCTCGGTTTATCTTCATCGCTAATTGCAACATATCAAACTGAGATGAGACTGTTGATCTCCTATACTTGATTATAGAAAAAAATTTTAATACAAAAATTATACTAAATAGAAATAATTTGTTGTGTATACTGAAAATAAAAATGGAAAAATTAACTCCGACCTAGACAATAAATCTTTAGATAAAAACGATGATTTATAAAATAACTCAAACAGTTGATGCAAGTCAGACTACAAAAAATTAGTTGATTAGAAGACAGACCTTCAACATAGAACAAGAGCAACAAGATGGCGACTGACGCTTGAAGCGTAGTAATAAAAAAGCATACACTTGAAGGCACATTCTTGAAGCATGTCACAAAAAAAGCAAAAACTGTTTCATACTTGAAGCATAATACGGATACCGCACTTTATGAATAATGTTTCTATGTTTCAAGTGTAAAGAAATCATGCTGTACATTCTACCACACTGAAAATGTAAAGTTCCACGGATGACGTGTAGCATTATCATACTTTATGTGCTGTCGAAATTCCCAAGTGTTGTCGTTCTACACTGTATCCGTAGAATTTTACACTTGATCCGTGTTTTTTTGGGATAATGAATCTAGCTAGAATCATCGGAGTTTTTCTCGCTTTTTTCCTTGACTTTAGTCTAGGATTATACAAAATGATTGTCTGTCTGTGTGGGTCTTGCGCAAAATACGGAGAAATGGCTGTCACAACATATTCAATGGATAAGCCAATCATGAGGGAGAAAAATAGAAAATTCTTTTTTAACCACCAGAGAGCCAATATTCAAAGAGATAACTTAAAATATCTACTGATGCACAAAGAAAAAAAGATAAGCAAACTTTTTCTGTACTTCTGACATAGATGCCGCTAGAAATCAGTCTAAATTTGATGACAGAAAAAAAGTTGTCTACGGACAATAAAACTTACAGAATATAGATAGTCTATTCTAGCGAATAGATAAGAGACCGAAAGTTGGCTATTTTCAAAACGAGATCTTCCAAGACGGGCACCATGCTGAAGGAGGTAGATAGACATCGATCTAGTTAGAAAGTTATGAAGTAAAGATCTGACTGCTATAGAAATATAAGCTCGTTACTTGTGATTGAGTCAAGGGCAGAGGAAATTAAACGTTAGCTTACCGAAAATGTGAAGCATGAATGATGGAATTTCATGGAATGAAATAATGTTCAAATTAATAGGATGGCGAAATATCGCTTTTTTAAGAAAAAAAAGCAAAATCCTTTTTCTGTGTACCGATGCACATCTATGCCACTCTTTAGTTTTTCGTGGCATTTTTGACTGCCGACGTTTAAAATTAGCTTTAAAACTAAGCAATTCTCGAGCAGTTCAAAGAATTCTCTGCAAAAAATTTTCAATGTCTTATCGATGCTGAGTAGGGACTGATTTTAGCTTTTATTGATAGTACTGTGGGGACGACTTTGAGTACTCATGCTAGAGTATTGTTGAGTACGCATATAACTTTTGGCAAAATACTCATGAGTATTACTCATCTGGTATTTTCATATAAAGGAGTGATCAGTCAGAGCTGGACTAGAAGTCTATTCACAGACGAATCCGTCTCTGACTATATACAGAGAGACCAGCCAGAAAAATATCATGCAAATATTCTATGTTTCTTTACTAAATTCTGTGTTCTTTATACAGTTTCATTTTTACAAAACAAAATGGTGAATGAATATTTTTAATCTTCAAATTGTGGAATATAGAAAAAAACATACAGACTTTCAATATTTCGATATTTTGACTTGTTCTTCGTCCGTTCTTCCTCAAGAGTTAAATATAAGAAAAAGGTGAAAATATTGCAATAAATTAAGAAATAAGAGTTTTTTGTGTGATATTATTTTCCGTCCATTTATCCTACTACAGAAAGGAAGAATACCCCGTCTTGCGGTAAGTATACTATTAGATAGGTGATCTGAGGCACCAAGACATAAGTAATTTGGCCAAAGTTATCGCATGACTTTGTCGGCGCCGAGGTTCGAACACAGTACTTTTGAAGTGCGTAACGAATAATATAACCATCAAGCCATACCTAATACGGTTAAATACTACTATCGAACATCTAAAACAAGATCCTCGGTTTTTTCCTGAATAACTCGAAAATGATATCAGAGGGGACACGGCGATTACTGACAATCGAAAGATGAAACCTGAACGCAATTTTTCTTGAGAGGAAACATATTTACCGAAAGCAGGTTTTCAGTGTATTTTCAGAAGTAGTCAAAGATGGATTATTTCACTTAATAAAGATTTTTACTAGATTTTTAATAAAAACACACATTGCCACTAGAATCAGCGTGGTCGACAATTATGTTTCAATCGTTTTTCAAGTTCCTACAAGTCATCTCACATCAGTTGTGGGACGTCTAGTAAATTATCACCTGCAAGTGGCTTAAAGAAAGACATTGCTGATCCCAGATAATTATGGTTCGATTTTTAACATAGGGCTGTGCATATCCCTTAATGTCAAAGTAAGAGAGAGTCACTTCCATGTTTCTGATGTTGTCACATTTTCGTTTTAAGCATCTCTCGTGCTACTATCAATGGAATTTACAAAAAAATGTTGAGTATAGTGGTAAAAGATGAATGAAGTAATATTTTCTAGCATATTAATATACTCATTTACTCGAAAACGGAACAACTAACAAGTGAAAACAATGATAGTTTCAGAAGATCGACAACTATCGGATTTAATGGTATCTTTAATGATCTTTCTCTATGATAGCGTCTTTGGTTGTTGTGGATAAACAGGCGAAAGTTTTAACAGTCATCCGCGTTGAGTCAAAAATAGAGAAGTTTGGCTGTGTGTATGTATCTTTCCCTTTTGAATATTGTTGTACGGCAGACGGTTGCTTATGTGATGATTGTTTAATGTGAAGACTCAGGCAAGCCTTTTTTTGAGTCAACGCACGTTGAAACGCGTTAGTTTGGGCAGGTAACGCGTTTTGACGTATTTTTGGTGAAAATGAACGCGTTCCGACACGTTAGTGTGCTATAAATGCATCGAAACGCGTTTAAATCCAATGCGTTCTGACGCGTTAGAGAAAACGGATGCGTTAATTACCAACGCGTTTAGCAGGCTCATTATTTGGTAATCTAACGCGTTTTTATGCGTTATTTTCTGCTGCATTTTAATTTTTTTCAAAGTGTATCATTAACGATGAAGCAAGAAGACCATTTGACTTTAAAATCTTCTTCTGACATAGAATAACCGAAACAGCACGAATACAAAAAAAAATAAAATAAAAATGCGACCTGTATTAGCAGATTTATTCACGTTCAACAGCTAGACGAAGGACAGAGTAGAAACATCCTGTCTCAAAAAAGTCACTTACATCTGATGAGTTTCTCAATAAAATACAACTCAGTATCAGACTTCACCTTTAAACAGAGGGATGAGGTAAGGAGTTATTGACCTAACAGACAGGCTATTTCATTTCTCGCACGCACATAGTTAGGTATGAGAAAAGAGATGATTGTTTGCTGAATTACTTTATTCTGAGTGAAAGATTTGTTTACTTTGTAAATGAAACCTAGAAGTCATAGAATAAAGAAGCAAAACAGTCTTGTCTAACTGAGATGATCGAAACACAGCATTGTTACTGTATATGTTTCGATCGTCTGTTAGCTCAGATGGTTGTGTTTGCTTCTTAATTCTAGATACCCACAGTCGAATCACACTGAAGTCACGTAAGTACAAGTTGTTTTCTTCCTCTATTTCGTCACTCTACTGGGTTATATAGTCGTTTGTATGCATATCTGTGCATCCAGACATGTACCAGAATTTAATCTGATGCTGAATTTTATTTTTTTTTCATTTTTATTGATTCATATGATTGATTACATAAAAGTGCCTAAATATTTCGATTACTAGGGATTACTACGTCTAAATATTTATCGAATAATGATATCTTACTGCAGATGTCTTCAGGTTGTTTAAATGAAAAAGAGCGACAGAAGTACTGTTAAACCATTCAGTCTCTAGTATAAGCTACCAATATAACAAATTTTACAAAAACTAAATATAATTACTTCAGTAAAAAAAGGTTTATTTTATAATTGTCCTACTGAATGGTAATTCACTGGGTATTTGTATAGTCACATCCATATTAAAGTCGTTTTATAGTAATTTTTCCCGTTTTTACACCTCATATGTTCAATAATTATTAATCAAAATGTCATCGTCCTAATTGCCTTCGAATAGAAACTGGAACAACAATCAGTGCACATAGCAGAAAGCGATTGTGTATTTGATTTCATAAATCAATAGTCTCATTTAACAGTCACAGCTGGAAATGGCAAAAATCCTGAAAGAATCATAAAATTCTTAGCTAACACACATTTACGTTGAAAAAGTTTCTCAATTTTCTTGTAGTTTTTATCGTCGTCATCTCTCCTTGGAAAGCAAAATTCACTATATAGTGAGCGCTCTCGAATAAGAAATATATACAGTTTCTCGCTAAACCATAGCTGACCTCGGGATGACACTGTTATTAATTTGCCGTCATGTTTATTCGATTATAGAAGAAAGAACTTTTGAACAGCTTCAGCTTTGTCAGAAATAGAGATAATTATCAGCATCCTATTTCATTTAATAGCTAGAAATACACAATGATAGTTATCTCAATTTGTATGCTTATACGAAAAAAACAGCTGTCTATGGTTAAATAAAGAAAACTCAATCATGCAGGAAGAATGTTTTTATTATTAATGAAAACAGCTGGATTGTTTCAAACAATCATGCCTAGCCAAGTATTCGAATAAGGTCGAGTTAGTTTATAAATTAGTTGTGCTAAACCGTCTTTAATCGTACCATCTCTCGTACCTGGCTTGGTTGCATATCGACGCATACAATGAACATTCAAAAATCTCTCGTAAATACCACCGAGTCTTATAGTCATGTTTTAACGAGTAGCGTAGTAGAAATGAACGTTTCAGTATCTGTCACTTTTCTCGATCCCTATCGACTCACAAGAGTTAAGATCTTTTTTCTACTAGAAATCTATTCCAGTAACTACAACTCTGATCTAGACGAAACTTTCAGAGAATGACGATCATGTCAAAGTCGAGTAAGACTAACTTTCTGTAACATATCAAACAGATGATCGATGAACACGTCTATATTAATTTGAGTTTGAGATTTATATTGTACTACTAAAAATAAAGATTTACTAGCTGGAAAAAAAAGAGTTAAGCAAGTCTCAGCGATTGGGTCTTCTAGATAAATTTCCGTAACAG